ATAAGTAAATATGAAGTGTAAAATGAGGATAGAGGAGAATTAAATACTTTCGAATGTTAAAATAAGTAAAAGAAAAGAAGGTTAGAAGGATTTGCTGGAGATACGATTTAAACTAGAATACAAAGCAGGGAGGTGAGAGGAAGTCATGGAAACAAGTAAATGGGAAAATGGTTGTAATGGTCTAATTTGATTTTTGTTATTTTCTACTGTGATTTTTTGTCTTTTTTATTTCTTTTTTACTGTCTGTTTATTGTAAGATGTATGTGGTTTGTTTTTTCTTTTTTTTCTATATTTTTTTTGTAACTTTAAAATTGGAATAAATATTCTTTAAAAAAAAAAACAAAGTATTAAAAGCACAATAAAACATCAACCATTAAAAAAAAAAAAAAAGAAAGAAAGATGTCAAGTCCCGCAGGGCCCTAGTCTCTTGTGACAGAGTGTTCCACCAGATCGGGACCACGGCTGATAAAGCCCTGGCTCTGGTCGAGGCCAGTCTAACCTCTCTGTGGCCTGGGATCTCCAAGATGTTTTTATTTAAAGACCGAAAGGTCCTCTGTGGGACATACCAGGAAAGGGGTCCTGTAGGTACGAGGGCCCTAGGCCGTATAGGGCTTGTTAAAACCTGCTTCTTAAACCTGATCCTGTATACTCCACTGGGAGCCAGTGCAGCTGGTATAGCACTGGGTGAATGTGATCCCGCGGTGAGGGCCCCGTAAGGAGTCTCGCCGCGGCATTCTGCACCCGCTGGAGTTTCTGGGTCAGTCTCAAGGGCAGCCCCACGTAGAGCAAGTTACAATAATCAAGCCTGGAGGTGACCGTTGTGTGGATCACAGTGGCTAGGTCAGGGCGAGAGGCACAGCACAGCACAGGCAAGACAAAGTGATTGGGGGGCAAATAGATAGGACACCTGTACAGTGCATGGTCTGAAGGCACCTGAGGCCACCACCTAGCTCAGAGTTGGGGAACCTGTGGCCCTATTGATGTTGTTGAATGACGGTTCCTATCATCCTTGACCATTGGCCATGCTGGCTGGGGCTGGTGGGAGTTGGAAATCCAGCAACATGTGGAAACTATGCTTGTCTGTGTTTGGTAAGCGTTTGGATGGGACCTTGTGTACACCGTTTTAGGGTTTTATGAGTAAGGGAAAGTAAGGGAAAGGTAAAGGACCCCTGGACGGTTAAGTCCAGTCAAAGGTGACTATGGGGTTGTGGCGCTCATCTCGCTTTCAGGCCGAGGGAGCCGGCGTTTGTCCACAGACATCTTTCCAGGTCATGCGGCCAGCACGACTAAACCGCTTCTGGCGCAATGGGTCACCGTGACGGAAACCAGAGCGCACGGAAACACCATTTACCTTCCCGCCAGAGCGGTACCTATTTATCTACTTGCGCTGGTGTGCTTTCGAACTGCTAGGTTGGCAGGAGCTGGGACAGAGCAACAGGAGCTCACTCCGTCGCGGAGATTCGAACCGCTGACCTTCTGATCAGCAAGCCCAAGAGGCTCAGTGGTTTAGAACACAGCGCCACCCGCGTCCCTACCAAAAAAAGTGGGGCACAGTACCAGTGTGGACAAACACAAGGAAACCAATCATGGTTGCCTGGTTCAGTAGTTTCCCACATTCTGTCATTTAACCCAGCACATTGGGTTGTATCCAGTCAAGTTTTACTCAGAGTAGACGCACGGAAATCAGTGGGCATCGTTCTCCCTGCCTATTGGAGGCAGTATGTCCTTGAATACCATTTGCTGGGAATCACAGCTGGAAAAGGTGCTGCCATGTTCAGGATCTGCTTGCTGGCTTTCTGTAGTTTGGCCACTGTGAGACCATGGTGCTGGACTGCATGGACTTGATCCAACAGAGCTCTTCTTATGTTAAAACCCAGCTACCTCCTCTCGCCGTTACCTCCAATAATTCAGATTAAGTCCAAACTCTCCTGTATCCCGCAGGATGTAGAATGAGGGGTGGCCAAACCCACTCTATGACTGCGAATGTCTGGTGTCCTTTGACATCGATTGCTTGTGTTTCCGTGCCATCCAAACTGGCTTACAAACAATAATAAATAAATACATATTTTTTTTTATTTATACCCCATCCTTCCCGGTTCAAGTATAAAGGTAAAGGTAAAGGGACCCCTGACCATTAGGTCCAGTCATGGTCAACTCTGGGGTTGCGGCGCTCAACTCGCTTTATTGGCCGAGGGAGCCGGCGTACAGCTTCCGGGTCATGTGGCCAGCATGACTAAGCCACTTCTGGCGAACCAGAGCAGTGCACGGAAACGCCGTTTACCTTCCCACCAGAGTGGTACCTATTTATCTACTTGCACTTTGACGTGCTTTTGAACTGCTAGGTTGGCAGGAGCAGGGACCGAGCAACAGGAGCTCACCCCATCACAGGGATTCGAACCGCCGACCTTCTGATCGGCAAGTCCTAGGCTCTGTGGTTTAACCCACAGTGCCACCCGTGTCCCAAAGTATACTGGGCAGAAAATGGGATGGCTACAGTGACCACTCTTTCCTCATGTGCCATCTTGCTTCTGAGTTGGCAAGTGGGGTAAGACCAGATTCGGCCCTTAGGCTTCCAGTTGCTGATCTTCTGATCTAGGGGGTTCCATGCTATTTGGCTCTGTTGGACAAGCAAGAAAAGGGGACAAAGAATTCTCCTCACGCTTGTAGGCAGAGGGATTATGGGGGAAGATGGAGTCTGTTGCATCTTCATTTTTCCAGTGCCAGCAGAAGAAAGCGGGGGAAGAATTCTTAAAAAATATTGGACACACATACAGTTTGCTCTACAATAGTTTTAAATTGAATTATTTGGATTAGGGTTGATTTAGCCCTATTGATTTCAATAGGACTAATCCGCTTAAATGCAAGTATTTCAGCTCCACTTTGGATCAGGCGGCCCCAAATCTGGCTAACATTGATTTAAAACCTGAGTAGTTTTCCACTGAATAGTCCCCCCCAACCCTCCCAGACTTTCAATTATATATCTAGGATATAACTGGAAGGATCATTTGTATCAATTCTTCTTTTATTAGGGATGTGACAAACACCCCGGCTCGATTTAAATTACTGTATAACCTTCGTCCCTCTGGGGAAATTGCGAATTGCTTGGCTAGTGACTTTTGGAAATGCAGGAGTTTAATGTCACCTGCGGCTGTTGCAGATCCATCTGCCCCCTGCTTGACTGACCAATTAGCTTGGTTTGGAAATCTCTATTTTTGGTTGTCCTCCGAGGTCACAGCGCGCACCCTGGAGGCCTGCAGAGAATGCCTTCGTAGGCTTTTCTCTCAGGCAGGGATTCCTCTGGGGCGGCCGCATGTGGCTGAAGGCTGGCTATCTGCTATAAAAGAATATTAATCCAATTCCACGTATTGGGGGGCTTCGTTTGGAGGAGGGTAACGACAGCCAGGCACATTCAAGTATACAGAGGTACCTCAGGTTGAGTACTTAATTCATTCCGAAGGTCTGTTCTTAACGTGAAACTGTTCTTAACCTGAAGCACCACTTTAGCTAATGGGGCCTCCCGCTGCTGCCGCACCGCCACCACACGATTTCTGTTCTCATCCTGAAGCAAAGTTCTTAACCTGAGGTACTATTTCTGGGTTAGCGGAGTCTGTAACCTGAAGCATCTGTAACCTGAAGCGTCTGTAACCTGAGGTACCACTGTATGCGCTTGGGATGTTAGGAAGGAAGCAGCAGTGCGCATGTTCCAAAATACCCCCTACAATCTAGGGAGGCTGCCCCTGCGTTCTGGTGCCTGTCTGTGCTTCTGTTTTGCAATGTAGGGACTCCTTGACGGGATATCCTTTTATTCTTTTTTTGTGTGAGTGTGCACATAGCAAGTGGGGAAACCTCAGGCCCACGGGGGCAATTGCACTCCCCAGGCCTCTCTGTTTAGTCCTTGGGACTTTACCGACCCAGTACGTTTCCAAGCACAATTCAAAGTGTTGGTGCTGACCTTTAAAGCCCTGAACGGCTTTGGTCTTGTATACCTGAAGGAGCATCTCCACCCCCATCGTCCAGCCCAGACACTGAGGTCCAGCGCCGAGGGCCTTCTGGCGGTTCCCTCGCTCCGAGAAGTGAGGTTACAGGGAACCAGGCAGAGGGCCTTATCGGTAGTGGCGCCCGCCCTATGGAACGCCCTCCCGTCAGATTTCAAGGAAATAAACAACTACAGTGGTACCTCGGGTTACATATGCTTCAGGTTACAGACTCCACTAACCCAGAAATAGTACCTCAGGTTAAGAACTTTGCTTCAGGATGAGAACAGAAATCGTGTGGTGGCAGCACAGTGGCATTAGCTAAAGTGGTACCTCAGGTTAAGAACAGTTTCAGGTTAAGAACAGACCTCCAGAACGAATTAAGTACCGTATTTTTCGCTCTATAAGACGCACCAGACCACAAGACGCACCTAGTTTTTGGAGGAGGAAAACAAGAAAAAAATATTCTGAATCTCGGAAGCCAGAACAGCAAGAGGGATCGCTATGCAGTGAAAGCAGCAATCCCTCTTGCTGTTCTGGCTTCTGGGATAGCTGCGCAGCCTGCATTCGCTCCATAAGACGCACACACATTTCCCCTTACTTTTTAGGAGGGGAAAAGTGAGTCTTATAGAGCAAAAAATACGGTACTTAACCCGAAGTACCACTGTATTTTACTTTTAAAAGACAACTGAAGGCGGCCCTGTTTAGGGAAGCTTTTAATGTTTAATAGGTTATTGTATTTTAGTGTTCTGTTGGAAGCCGCCCAGAGTGGCTGGGAAAACCCAGCCAAATGGGCGGGGTATAAATAATAAATTATAATTATAATTATTATTATTATTATTATTAATAATAATAATACATCCTCTCTCTTCCAAGGTCAGATCCTTCACCGACTCTCCTCCACCTCAGTGGCGGAGCAAGCTGATCGGGCGCCTGGGGTGGGGTGAGCTGGGGCAGGATGTCCCGTGGGGCCTCAAAGGAGTCTGCCTGACTCCTCCCACTCAGCCACCCTGCAGCTGAGGGGGAGGCAGCGGATGGACCGTTTGGGGCAGCCTGGAGCCTGCCGGCGCCCAAGCCATCGCGTCAATCCCAGGAGAGACGCGTCGCTCGGGCGCACTGCAGGCCCACGGTGAGTGCCGCCCGCCATTTTGTCACCCCCTTCAGTGGTGACACCTGGGGCAGCCCACCTCCACCCCCCCTTCCTCCACCCCTGCTCCACCCCCTCCTCAAATTCTTTTGCCAGGCTGGAATGTGGGTGAGTTCTTTTTAAAAATATTTTTCAAAGATTTCACTCAAGGATTTTCAACCTTTAGTCATTTATAGGAGTCTTTAGAATACATCTCACATTGGATAATGTGGACTGATTTGAATTCCAATCAATTTTAACTCGGGGCAGAAGCTGTTCTCCGCCCCGCCCCCACCATGTAATTGTTTAAGAAACCGAGAACTGTCATTTGAAAAAGGCTTAGTGTACGGAACTGGATAAATAAATTTGGTTAATAGAATAATCCCACGAAAGTGCAGGCTGAGAGTGCAGCTCATTTGACTCTGTGCAGGCTTTAAAAGAGCTCTTTCCTGGTTAATCCATTCTGCTATAGAGTGCCATTGCTATGTAAGCTTTTCTTCCCCCTTGTTACCCTGAATAAAGAAGTTAGATGTATCATAACTTTTCAATTTGTAGACTATGAATAACATTACTTAGATTGTACAGAAGAAATCCTCCTGCTGGATCCGTCGTCGTCTAATGACACCACATCTAATTGGCTTATGTCAAGAAATACATGCGTTCGCAGTACATGCTGTAAATCCTGTAAATGTCTAAAGGATGAAGAAACAGGGTTAAGGCAGAGCAAGAGCAAATGCTTTAGGGGTCTCACATGTCATATTCAACAAGTGTACAATCTGTGCAATACAACTCGTTGAACAGGACACCTGTACAGCCATTCGTGTGTAACATTAGACTGCATGGTCCACAGTGGTACCTTGGATTACAGACGCTTCAGGTTACAGACTCCACTAACCCAGAAATAGTACCTCAGGTTAACAACTTTACCTCAGGATGAGAACAGAAATTGCGTGGCGGCAGTGGGAGGCCCCATTAGCTAAAGTGGTACCTCAGGTTAAGAACAGTTTCAGGTTAAGAACGGACCTCCGGAACGAATTATGTTCTTAACCCGAGGTACCACTGTACTCAAGAGGAGTCCAGTCTTTCACACAAATGCAAGTACTTGTGTAGAGTCAGCTTGTGTTCAGTGTAAAGTGTGAACCGCCTTGTTCTCTCTCGCAACAAGTTGCATAGTCTTGTCAGCATGCAACTCCTGTGCTCGGAGATATGCACTGGTTGCTGATCTGCTCTTGGGCCAAGTTCAAGATACAGTTGCACCTTGGTTCTCAAACTTAACCCGTTCCGGAAGCCCATTCCAAAACCAAAGTGTTCCAAAACGAAGGTGTGCTTTCCCATAGAAAGTAATGCAAAATGGATTAATCCATTCCAGAATTTTAAAAACAACCCCTAAAACAGCAATTTAACGTGAATTTTACTATCTAACAAGACCGTTGATCCAATAAATGAAAGCAATGAACTGCAGTCACACAATCAGTCAATCAATTAGTAGCTGAACTGGGTTCTATACAGTCACAAGAACAAAACAAAGAAGCCGCAAAAACAAAAACGCAAAATAAATAGCAAAAACAGGCAGACCTCGGTGTAACACTCAAAATGGAAGTGTGGCACTCAAAACGGAGCATGTTCAGCTTCCAAAAGAAGTTCGCAAACCAAAACACTTACTTCTGGGTTTGCAGTGTTTGGGTTCCAAGTTGTTTGAGTACCAAGGCGTTTGAGAACCAAGGTACCACTGTATTGCTATTAGTAAAGCTACCCTTTACCATTAGGTCCAGTCGTGACCGACTCTGGGGTTGTGGCGCTCATCTCGCTTTATTGGCTGAGGGAGCCGGCGTACAGCTTCCGGGTCATGTGGCCAGCATGACTAAGCCGCTTCTGGCGAACCAGAGCAGCGCACGGAAACACCGTTTACCTTCCCGCTGGAGCGGTACCTATTTATCTACTTGTACTTTGACGTGCTTTCGAACTGCTAGGTTGGCAGGAGCAGGGACCGAGCAACGGGAGCTCACCCCGTCGTGGGCATTCAAACCGCCGACCTTCCGATCGACAAGTCCTAGGCTCTGTGGTTTAACCCACAGCGCCACCCGCATCCCGCTATTAGTATACAAAGCCCTTAGCAACTTGAGATCAGTTTACCCCTTATGTGCCCACTTGTCCGCTTTGATCAGTGGAATTGCCCACATATGATACCTACTCCACATTTGTAAGAACTCAGTTGTTTTGTGTGTCAGCTCCTAAACTTTGGGACTCCTGCCTATTGATATCAAGTAGTTGCTTTCACTGTATTTTTTGGGTGCCTGCTATAAAGCATTTCTTGTTTAAGACAAGCCTACCCACATGCTTAGAAAGCTGTGATGAGTTTTGATTTGTTGTAGTCTATTGTTTTAACTTCCTGTATGTTTCAAATTATTGCTGTAAACTTTTATTTTGATGATTGTATTATTTTATCTTTTTGTGAACCTCTTTGAGGGTTCTTCTACAGTTGAGTAGTGTATACTTTTAATGAAATACATCAATCTCATAGATTAAAAAGATGCATGCCCTGGCTTTCGCTTCCTGATGTGATGCTAGAGTGGTTGAAAACCTTTCATGTTGTCCTTTCCTACGCTCCAGACTCATTGCAATTCCTTCTTCCAGCTATCCATTGCAGTCTAAATCCAAATGGTATCGATCTCTCCGTCCACACGGAAGGAATTAACCTGCAACTTGAAGGCGAGAGAGTGGACACATCCTCCCATAAGAAGGAGAGCTCTTCCAAGTTGCTCGAGTCCAAAGGAACGCCCAAGAGACAGCACGGGGAGCCAGAATCATCTAAGGTAGGTATAGCAAAATCACACAATCATATTCAGAAGGAGGGTCTGTACTAAGTGGTAAGTGGACGTACCTCTATGCAGAATGTTTCAAGTTAAATCTCTTCTTTTTTCTTTCTTTGGCGATCACTTGTAGCTGAGTAAATTTGTCTTCCATAAACACAGTTTTAACAATGAGTCCGTAAGTGACTGTGGAGGCCAATTCTGGATCCACACATCCTTCCACAGTCAGGACATAGGTTTCCAGGCAGGAGTTGATCACGGTGTAGATTTGCCAAGCGTGCCTTCCTCTTAGCATGTTTCTCCCTTTGTCCTGAGTTTGAGTGTCTTCAAAGCCCATGACACCTTTGGTAAAGGTTGTTCTCCAATTGGAGCGCTCACAGGCCAGTGTTTCCCAGTTGTTGGTGTTTATACTACATTTTTAAAATTTGCCTTGAGAGAGTCTTTAAACCTCTTCTTCTGACCACCAGCATTATGCTTTCCATTTTTAAGTTCGGAATAGAGTAGTTGCTTTGGAAGACGATCATCAGGCATCTGCACAATATGACCAGTCCAGCAAAGTTGATGTTGAAGAATCATTGCTTCAACACTGGTGATCTTTGCTTCTTCCAGTACACTGGCATTAATTCGCCTGTCTTTCCAAGCGATGTGTAAAATTTTTCGGAGACAACGTTGATGGAATCTTTTACTAGCAAAAAGGATCTTGGATAGCCAAGCTGTCCAGGAAAAGGTGCTTAGAGATGCACCACTGCTCAGTGGCAGAACATCGGCTTTGTGTGCAGAAGGTCCCGGGTTCAAACCTCGTCATCTCCAGCTACAAAGATCAGCTGGCAGGTGGTGCAAAAAACATCTAAGACTTTGGAGAATTGGATCATGCCAGTCAATGGTCGCCTAGATGGACAATTTCACCTGGTGCAAATAGCAGCTTACTATGTTCCTGAAGGTGCTGAAAGCTGTACTGTATTTCTTTTCCTTTCTTTGGTTTAAGTTTGCTTTTGGAGGTGCAGAGAGTTAATGTCCATAGAAAGCAAAGCAACTGCAACAGAACCTTTCCCTCTTTTTATCGGAATGATCCAGAGTGAGAGCAGTCCTGCTGGGACACAGCCAGTCTCAGAACATATTTGATGCTGGCCGGCTAACAAATGAGCAATCAATAGGCTAATTCAAATGGGTTTTTCACAATTAGGGTGCATCTTCCAGACCAGTAGGTTTTCACATGATCCGCTACAGAGAATAGATTGCATATCCCCTTTCTCCTTCAGATTTTCCATCACTGAAACCTGGTTTCTTTAACTGGGGGTCTCTCTTTATTTAGAGTCTTATGATAAAAACAGTACAGTATACCCCCAATAGAGAGTCAGTCCCAAGTATATACAGTTGTTCCTGATGTTTGATGACATGCTTATGGCCATTTCAGTACTAAAAATTCTGTGTGGAAGTTAGATTCTTCCTCTTAATCCCAAAGACTCCCCCCCCATCATTGTAGAGTGAATTGTAGCATTATTGAGTTTCTTTCGTGTTTACCATGAGAGATAGAATTACATTTCCCCTTTAAAAAGCAAGTGCATTACTATTATAATATCTGAGCCAGGGACAAACTTCCAGTACTCAACAAAAAAGTAGGAAAAAACTTTTTTAAAATAGTAGTTGAGATCTGATGTTCTCTTTGTTGATAAGCTGCTTAAATGTGCATCCTGCGCATTTAAGAGAAGAAAGAAAACTGTCTGTAACGTTGTTTGTTACGTGTTTTGAGGCCTTTTAATGTCTCCCCTGCCATATAATTAGTTACCAAAAAAGAAGACATCGAATAACATTAAGGAAATGACTGATGGAGCTAACACAAAGGCAGGGAATTGTATGTCCATTATGGTGGGGCCAAATTAATCACGGAGCTAGCTGACTGAATACCCTGGCTCATTTTTCAGGTAGAATAGCAAGTCCAGGGCAATGAAACACCCACATATTTGCATGAGGATTCGATTAGCTTCCCGTAATTTTTAAGGGTTTTAATCGGGCTGCTGTTATGCTGCTGCTGCTGCTCTGTTTTGTGATTTTTATGGTTTTCCTGGACTGACCACAGCTTCAGTGATAAATTGCTGGTTGCTGTTGTCAGTAGATTATGTGTTTTTCAGGGAGTTTGCTTTTTAATTATGCTGCTTTATATCTTGTTTACATGTTGTTGTGAGGTACGTTGCAAGAAAGGTTTTTCTAAAAGGCAAGAGTATACAGCCATTGAACAAATGAATAAAAGCTTGTAGCCCAGATTGGGATTCCTCACGCATATGGACCAGATTTAGCCCACTTTCTCTCTCGCTCTCTGTTTGCAGTGTCCTGGTGGCACCAGCTAATTTGGCTTTTTGACCTGGCAGTATTGCTTAGGGCAGGATCTGGTTCAGTGTATTTTCTTGATAAAAAAACCTGAAAGCAGGGCAATGAAGCTTCTGCACCAATTTTAGTCTCTCCAAATTTTGCAACCTGTGTGGATCCTGTTTCTGCTATTCATGGGGAAGGGCAGGTAGCTAAAGTTGGCCCCTAAACCTTCCCTGCTGACCACTGGAGATCTTCCTCTTCTTCTCTGATTCTGAAATCCCGCCCTCCCCGACATCACTTGTCTGGTTTCATGCCAAAATTCACAGCCTTAAGGGCTTAGGATGCTGAACTGATGACTTCACCTTGGTCCATGAATGGAACATCCCACACGCCAAAACAGATGCACTATTGGTGTGTATGCAGATGTGTATCTGAATCAGTATTCTTACTGTAAAGTTGTAAGCCTCTTAGAAGCCATTCTGACATATTTGTGGTATATGAATGAATGAATGAAATGTTTTTTGGGATTTACTTAACTTGCTGGGTACATCTTTTGATGGAGAAAAAGATGTATGGTCTTCCCAGGAGGACATTAACTGATCCACGTGTCTAGTGGTGTGCGCTATTCAAGTTGGATCTGAGCTAGATCTTCCTGTCTTCTCAGTGAAGAGCGTGAGCATTCGTCGTCCTGCTTCTTTTGAGTGTCCTTTAACAGAATTATAAGCTTCCATCATAAGTCCCCTCAGCCACGTCTTCTAATGTGTTTGTGGCATATATATATCTATATATCTATATATCTATATATCTATATATATATGGTGGTTGGAACCCATCTGTTTCAGGAAACAAAGGAAGAGAGTGACTTTGTGTATGAGACTTTGGGTTGGAATGTTGCAGCGACTACTGTGGCTATGGAGACCGATGCAGAAGAGACTTGTTTTGTTGCATCTGGGGCAAATGAAGATGTCCAGTTGTGCTGCTGCAGATGTACCATAGCATTTATTCTCTCTGCACTCCTCCCGGCGGTCATTTCTCCTCTGTTCACTGCTATGGATACATCTTTCTCTCTCATACACAGACACAAGCAGTATTAAGACTGCATTCCTAAACCCAATGGAAAATCTGCACAAGGACAGTGAATAAAGTGGTACCTCGGGTTACAGATGCTTCAGGTTACAGACGCTTCAGGTTACAGACTCTGCTAACCCAGAAATAGTACCTTGGGTTAAGAACTTTGCTTCAGGATGAGAACAGAAATCACACGATGGCGGTGTGGCGGCAGCAGGAGGCCCCATTAGCTAAAGTGGTACCTCAGGTTAAGAACAGTTTCAGGTTAAGAACGGGCCTCCAGAACGAATTAAGTTCTTAACCCGAGGTACCACTGTGTGAGAATATGACGTTCTATCAGTAGCAGAGTTAAGCCATAAGATCAGGATGGTGTTGGACAATTTTGTCCAGCCATTATGTTGAACAATCCTTCCTTCTCCTTTTCGTTCCTCATCTTTCTTTTCACAATATTTTTTCCCATTGAGCGTATAGTGAAAGAACAATAGGGGCAAGGGATAAGCGCTGTGGGATGTTGGCTCTCCATGCTGTGTGTATGTGTTTGTGTTTGTGTTGCATTTTCTAATCAAAACCAGCTTTTAAAAAAAAAAAACCCACGACAACAAAAATCTAGCCTCATGAGAGCTGGAAACTTGTTCTTGTTAAAATGAGGTCTGAGCCGCTCAAGGTGCTGGAGATTGCCTTAGTGGATCGATCTGCAAACAGGCCGCCTTCACGCCGCTCCAGTTAAAGTCTTTCAGCAGCTCCTCTTACTCAAAGTATTCAGTAGGGAATCCAAATAATAGGTACTGACTCTCTGTGTACAGCTGCCACTTCAAAGGCCTCCAAAGGTTCCAGCAACTTTTGAGCTTGATGTGGTGTGGAATTCTGATGCTGCCACAAACATCAGTCAGTTTCAAGGCAGCGCACCTCCCTTGTGACCCATTTTCTGGTGGCTTTGTTTTATTTATTTCTCTCTTCTTTTTTGAAGCAACAGCAATTAGCTCTTTGTATTTAGCGTCCCCATTTGGAACACTCCACTTTTCCCTTTTGACGCTCAGCGTGTAATCGGCAGCTCCTAATAGTAGTTTGTCGCCGTGCTTTCAATTTGTCTAAATTGCAGCGTTGTGACTGTTTGATAGGAGCGGGCTTCAGACGGAGGGCGATTTGGATCAGGGGCGGCAATGGTGCTACTCGCAGAAAAAGTTGCGCTGACGGTTTTAGCTGCTGCCCTCTGGCTCCTAGCTTGGACTGTTCTGCCCAGATAATTAGCATTATTTGTATGATTGCGTTGGGTGGCAAGGCACAGATGGCGGGCTGCTACTGCATTATCTCCTGTTGTGACGCATCAGTCATGTTTTTAGGGCAGCTTAATGCCACCGTCGTCTCTGCCATTGAGTAGGGAGAAGGGAGCACACAATGAGTCCGGTTTTTGAACCAGGAAGGGCGGGGTATAAATAAAAATATATTATTATTATTATTAATATATGCGCACACCCTAGGAGCAGGGATCTTGAAAGCTGGCGCGGCAGCGAGTACTCATAATCAGGCAGATTATGAGAGCCAGCGTGGTCTAGCAGTTAGAGCAAGCTTCCTCACACTCGGCCCTCCAGATGTTTTTGGCCTACAACTCCCATGATCCCTAGCTAGCTGGCAGGACCATTGGTCAGGGTTGATGGGAATTGTAGTCTCAAAACATCTGGCAGGCCGAGTTTGAGGAAGCCTGGGTTAGAGTGCCAGCCTAGGATCTGTGAGACCAGGGTTCAAATCCCCATGCAGCCATGAAGCTCACTGGACCAGTTGCTGCTTCTCAGCCTAACCTACCTCACAGTGCTGTTGAGGGGATAAGGAAGGGGGGGGAAACCTTGCACAGCACCTTGAGCTCCTTGGATTTGGGATATAAATGCAGTAAATAAATAAATTTGTGGGGTATTGCACAAGGCAGGAGCGGATGGAGAGGGAGGAACCAACTCTTTATTGTCAAAAGTACCCTTAAAAGTACTGGTGCCTGCCACAGGGGAAGAAATGGAGGCAGTGAGAGATTTTACCTTCTTGGGCTCCATGATCACTGCAGATGGTGACAGCAGCCACGAAATTAAAAGACGCCTGCTTCTTGGGAGTAAAGCAATGACAAACCTAGACAGCATCTTAAAAAGCAGAGACATCACCTTGCCAACAAAGGTCCGTATAGTTAAAGCTATGGTTTTCCCAGTAGTGATGTATGGAAGTGAGAGCTGGTCCATAAAGAAGGCTGATCGCCGAAGAATGGATGCTTTTGAATTATGGTGCTGGCGGAGACTCTTGGGAGTCCCATGGACTGCAAGAAGATCAAACCTATCCATTCTGAAGGAAATCAGCCCTGAGTGCTCACTGGAAGGACAGATCGTGAAGCTGAGGCACCAATACTTTGGCCACCTCATGAGAAGAGAAGACTTCTGGAAAAGACCCTGATGTTGGGAAAGATGGAGGGCACAAGGAGAAGGGGACAGCAGAGGACGAGATGGTTGGATAGTGTTCTTGAAGCTACCAGCATGAGTTTGACCAAACTGCGGGAGGCAGTGGAAGACAGAAGTGCCTGGCGTGCTCTGGTTCATGGGGTCACGAAGAGTCGGACATGACTAAACAACTAACAACAACAACAACAAACCTTAAAAGTTAGGGAAAGGCATGTCCATTAGTCCTACTTCTCTCATCTACTCCTAGGTGAGGCAGAGAGGCCCGACCCCCGATCTCAGCTTATGTATCTTCCCCACCTGAGCTGCAAGCAAGCAGGAGTGTGTCTATGTGTTACCTTCTGCTCCTCCCACTTCACTCCTCTTCTGGTCCTGGGAGACAGTGGAGCAGGAGAGGTGGGGTCAGTAGGAGGAGTTGTGGAAGCCCTTGACGCTCCACCAGCCTGACCTGTCTCTCCCTCCTCTCGCACCCGTTTTTCACACTCACATCCTGGGCACAAAAGTGGCAGGCACCAGTTCGGGAACCGCCAAGGGAAGAAGTCTCAGAGCCCGGGGAGTGCTGGTAGGACAACGATGAGTGTGCAGAGGGGGAAAAGAGGGAATAGATTAGAAGGAGGATGTTTCAGAAGCTGAAGAGGTAACAGGGTTTAGTGAGCAGGAAGAGGCTGTGGCAGAGAGCAGTCCAGAATCAGAGGCAGAAGAGGAGGCTGGATAGGAGGAGGGCCGAGAGGCAGAGAGGAGGCAGGCTGCTGAAGAAGCCTCCTTCTGTGAACAGCTCCCTCCCCCCTAGTCTCACAGAACCAGAAAAGGTATGAAGAGGGCAGAGCAAAGGCAGTCATGGCGACGTTGTCTCAGATTGCTTGAGAAGGACCTGGGGGAGGAGAAGACTTGGGGAACTGTGGGGTAGTCCACATAACTGCCTCAGAGGGGCAAGATCTACTGGGATGAATTGCTGTGCTCCCTAGACCTGGACTCCTGAGTCGACTGTGTTTCCTGGAATAAAGAGATAACTTCACTGAAGTCGTGTGAATTATTGCCGACCTGCTCAGGACTCCCGCTCTTGACACCTATTGAATTCAATAGGACTTAATTTATGCTTAGACATGTATGGGACTGTCCTGTAAAAGTGCAGTTAGACCAAATGTGGGCCAACCATAGCAAAACTACCCAGCTTTATAACAATTACGGGGGGAAAGATATAAATGTGATGATTTTTTTGCAAATTGTTTGGCATTTTATCAATTTTTTCCAGGATTGTTTATATTGTAACATACAATTCTGGGTGGTTTTTGTTTTAATGCTTTCGTTAATTATTGGGACCATAGGATATGTGTAATTTGTTTGTATATAATTAGGCTTTGTTTAAGTGACGTTTTGATTAGTCTCGTTCATAGGTGACGTTCTAATCTGATGACTTCTTCCTTCCTTGTATTCGAAAGAAATGGAAATGAAACACATAATGCTTTATGCAAGTGGAAGGAGCACATCTAAAAACTGCTACTTGCACATTATTCTTTTGATGTTTTATTGCACCATTGTGATTTGTGGAGCAACTCAAGTATTTCTTCTTTCTTTCTTTTTACAAAAAGCAATGTGCAGCTTTGCAATGGGTTTGCAGACCAGCTCCCAGGTATTTAATGGCACAATTGCTCTGATAGTGGAAATGGTAGAAATGTGTTTTTTTGGGGGGGAAGGGGGGGAAAGCACCCTAGTTCCTGATGAAAAGAAACTGAAATATATATAAAAATTAAAATGTATCAGAGAAGCAATCTAGTGGTTAAAGCAAGGTGTTCAACGCCTCGCTACTTGTGCTGCAGATACATTCACGAAGATTTCCAAGCTGTGTTTACAACAATAACTTCATTAATCTTTCCAGTTATTTCTCAGGAAATGTCTAATGCAAAATAGATTAGTGGCTCACAAGACAGCTCACGCGAGGATTTCAAAAACTGGAAATAAAAAAGAAAATGGAGGGAAGAGGCAGGGTGGGTGAGAAGGAAGGAGACACTCCTCCTCGCTTTGCAAATGGGAACCATTTGTTTAGCCCTCGCCTCATGCTTTCCAGGGCTGCTTAATTTGCAAAGGATATATTGCAACGATTTCTAACGGGGAACTTGAAAAAGGGTTTTCTCTCTGGCAACACCTAGGCTGTGAAAAATCCTGTCCCATGATCAGAGCTGCCCCAAGATGTTTTGGCACCTGAGGCAACCACAAAATGGGAAGAAGGGAAGAAGGGGTGAATGAAGGAACAAGAGGGGAATAAATATCAGGAATAAGGGAGGGACAGTGCCACCTGGTACGTCAGCTGAGACCCTAGCTGCCCGCAGACTGTCTTGTCAGAGTGGTGCACGCTCTGGTTATCTCCCGCTTGGGCAACTGCAATGCGCTCTACGTGGGGCTACTTTTGAATGTGACTTGGAAGCTACAACTTATCCAGAATGCGGCAGCTAGACTGGGAGTGGCCGCCGAGACCACATAACACCGGTCCTCAAGGATCTTCATTGGCTCCCAGTGCATTTTTGAGCAGAATTCAAAGTGTTGGTGCTGACCTTTAAAGCCCTAAACAGCCTCGGTCCTGTATACCTGAAGGAGCGTCTCCATCCCCATCGTCCAGCCCGGACATTGAGGTCCTCCTCCGAGGGTCTTCTGCTGGTTCCCTCACTCCGAGAAGCAAAGTTGCAGGGAACCGGGCAGAGGGTCTTCTCGGTAGTGGTGCCCTCCCTGTGGAACACCCTCCCTTCCGATGTCAAGGAGATAAATAGAAGACATCTGAGGGCAGCTCTTCATTTTTAATGTTCAATGCTTTATTATGTTTTATATATTCTGTAAGCTGCCCAGAGTGGCTGGGGAAACCCAGCCAGATAGGCGGGGTATAGATAGTAAAACAACAACTTCTACTTCTTCTTCTTCTTCTTCTTCTTCTTCTTCTTCTCCTTCTTCTTCTTCTCCTCAGAACCGGGAGGGGGGGATAAAAGCAACCTTACCCAACAGTTGAAGTAGGAATCAGTGGCTGTTGGGCATGGGGTGGAGGGGCCTCTGTGAATCATGCTGGGTGGGTGCAGAGCCCAGGAGACCCCCTGAGGGCAGACCAGAAGACCTCCTATTTAACTAGAGGCCACTGAGCATAGATTCTGTCTTCCTCTAAGGCAGGGGTAGAATTGGTCTTTAGACATGAGTGGGAAATCTGTGGCCTACCAGCTGTGGCTGGACTCCATCTCCTGTCAGCCCTAAACAGCATAGCCAGTGGTCAAGGATGATGGGAGTTGTAGTCCAGCAACAGTTCAAAGGCCACTAGGTTCCCCATCCCTGCAACATAACCCATGGACCAGAGCTCGCCAGGCACTCCTGTCTTCCACTGCCCCCCCAGTTTGGTCAAACTCATGCTGGTAGCTTCGAGAACACTGTCCAGCCATCTCATCCTCTGTCATCCCCTTCTCCTTCTGCCCTCCATCTTTCCCAACATCAGGGTCTTTTCCGGGAGTCTTCTCTCTCATGAGGTGGCCAAAGTATTGGAGCCTCAGTTTCAGGATCTGTCCTTCCAGTGAGCACATCCATTCCTTCAGATGGATAGGTTTGGTCAAGCTTTGCATTTTGAATCCCCACGACGGGGTGAGCTCCTGTTGCTCGGTCCCTGCTCCTGCCAACCTAACAGTTCAAAAGCACGTCAAAGCGCAAGTAGATAAATAGGTACCGCTCCAGCGGGAAGGTAAATGGCGTTTCCGTGCGCTGCTCCAGTTCACCAGAAGCGGCTTAGTCATGCTGGCCACATGACCCGGAAGCTGTCTGCGGACAAAATGCCGGCTCCCTCGGCCAGTAAAGCGAGATGAGCGCCGCAACCCCAGAGTCGTCATCAACTGGACTTAATGGTCAGGAGTCCCTTTACCTTTAAAAGCTTTGCAACTATGTTCTGAACCAACCAGTGTGGCATAATGGTTAAAGTGATGGACTAGGACCTGAGCCAGATAAGGCTCCAGAAAAAGTCTGCTTAAATGATCCATTTGTTTACAAATGCATATTTGGCATGTTCACATGTCATGTTTTCAGGCAAAACATCTCGGGTGTCCTTCAAAGAAACTTAAGGGGCGAAGCAGCTCTTAGAAAAAAGCATGCAAATAAAAAATAATTCAAAATCCATCTTAGTCGAACCAAGAAAAAAAAAGCAAGGCTAAGCTTTGTGGAAATCATGGTATTTGACAGTTGGGTGTTGTCAGGGAACTGCCATCGGAAGGAAGGGAGGTGAAAGGGCTCACACAGGTTGGGAGAGACTCAGCAGCTGAAGAGGGAACCAGTAGGGGGAGAGGAGCTGAGCTGAGGGAAAGTGAGCTGGAGGGATGGCTCAGAGACACTTCCAGCGAAAACAGTGGGGAGGTTTCAGGACCTCCTGTAGGAACACCCACTCCTCGCCGGAAACTGTCACGCAGAGAGTCCAGAAGACGTGTTTCCGTTAAGGAGCTTTTATGTTGGAAGCGATTCCGAAAGCAACCACTGTCGGAATCTGCTAGTGACTAGAGGAGCCATGTCTGAGGGGCCCGTCACAGACAGAGGTTTGTGGACTTGAACAAACTCTGAGGGGATACTATTTTACGCACAAGCAGCTCATCATCCCATCACAGCATTCCGACAGTCTTTGAAAGCAGCTTGTGCAGGAGAAGGCATCATGAGCAACCCAGCCGGAACCGGAGAAGCAGGAGCTGGAGCGGGTCCAAGCCTGGAAGAAAGGTACCGGGTGTTGGAGGTCCAGCTAGCGCTGCAGACGGCGAGGCTTGAGGAGAGGAGGGCTCAGGATGCAGACAAAAAGGGGAAAGCCACCCAGCTCGCCAGAAAGGTACCAGGATTGGTGCAGAAGTTTGGGGGGGAGCCCAAAGACTATCATGGCTTTCGGACAGAGATGCAATATGCCCTCAATCTGCAGTTTGATGAATTCCCTGACGAGGAATCACGAGTGGCTTTCGTGATTGGGCATCTTGAAAAGGGGGCGAGAGACTGGGTTAGACCCTGATGGCAGCGAATAGTGACGTCCTAAAGGACACGATGAAGTTCTTTCGCGCCATGGATCTGATGTTTTCCAGCGATATTGAACAGGGAGTGGTGCGCAGACAGTTAATGGCTTGCAAACAGGGGAGCCGATCTGTCCGTGAGTACTGGACTGAGTTCACCATGCTGGTTCACAGATTGGGGTGGGACTTATCGGCGGAACCCATTCAAATGCTCTTTGAAGAAGGGCTTTCTTCGGCTGTGAAAGACGAACTTTCCCGGGCGCCCAGGGCGGAGTCTATGGACCAGCTGACCAAATCAGCGCTGACCATAGGAGCGCGCCAGGAGGCGAGAGCATTGGAGAGGCGGGAAGGGAAGGGGGAACGTTGGAAGGAGTTCCGCATTCCAGACATTCCAGAGCCAACTTTCCCGCCGGCAGAGCCGATGGAAATCGGAACAGTGCGCGCGCGCACAGTTTCAAAGCCCAGTGAGGGGGGAAAGAAGGAGGGAAAACGCGCCCGGAAATGCTATCTCTGCCAACAGCCAGGTCACTTTGCCAGAGTCTGCCCCCAGAGGAAGGAATGGCAAGGGATGGTAGGAGCTGTGGAGGGAAGAGAGGAAGAAATACCGGAGCAAGTAAAAGCCAACGCCTGGCTGCCACCGTCGGGGCACAGCAGCCAGGCCAAAGAGCAGTGAGAGTGCCCACGCCAGAACCTCCTAAACCCGCCCTAGTGATAGAAGTGGCGCTAGAGCTGCCAAACGGACACCCTCTAAAGATAAAGGCGCTGTTGGACTCAGGCAGCTCCTGCAATTTCATGAGCAAAGAGTTTGCAGCTGAACACCAGATACAGACGATCCCTTTAAGCAACCCCTGCAGGTGACCACGATCGATGGCAGGGAGCTGTTGGGAGGAGAAGTCAGCTTGCAGACCGTCCCAATGATAATGAAGGTGGCAAGGCACACCGAACTGATAGCGTTTAATGTGGCCACCTTGGGAGGAGCTCCCATTATATTGGGGATGAGCTGGCTAGCGTTACATGATCCGCTGGTGGGCTGGCATCAGAGAGTGGTTTCTTTTGGTTCAGCACATTGCTTAGAACACTGCAAAGAGGGAAAGGGTTTGGCAGGGGCCCAAGCCACCCTAGCAGGGACTGAAGTAACGGAGAACGTGAAGGTACCACGACAATACGCAGATCTCCGCGACGTCTTCAGCGAAAGGGAAGCTGACCAACTACCCCCGCATAGACCCTTTGACTGTCAAATCAATTTACTCCCTGGGGCACAGCTCCCTGTAGGCAAGCTGTACGCCATGTCAGACAGAGAGATGCAGGAGCTAAGAGAGTTCATTGACAAGAACCTGAAGAGAGGGTTCATCAGAGAGTCCAGGGCGGTGGGGGCAGCCCAGTGTTTTTGTGGATAAAAAACACGAACAAGCCGAGGCTGGTGTGTGACTTCAGGGCCTTAAATGCAGTGTCAGAACCAGTGGCCTTCCCTATGCCCAGGATTGACGACATTTTGACAAGGGTGCGGAAGGGAAAGATTTTCACAAAGCTGGACCTAAGGGGGGCGTACAACCTGATACGAATAAGGAAGGGGGATGAATGGAAAACCACCATGTTCACCCCTTTAGGGGCATTTGAATATTTGGTTATGCCCTTCGGCCTACAAGCAGGCTCCGCATGCTTTCAATCGTTTATGAACCACGTCCTGGGGCCTTTGCTTTACAAGAATTGTGTGGCCTTCTTAGACGACGTGTTGGTGTATTCTGAGAATGAGGAGCAGCATGTGAGAGACGTCAGAGAAGTGTTGAGCAGGCTGCAAGCCAACCAGCTGTGGGTGAAACTGGAGAAGTGTCAGTTTCATACCAAGGAGGTGGAATTCCTGGGGTATCGCCTGTCAGACAAGGGATTGGCCATGGATCCCGGCAAGGTCCAGGCGGTGCTGGAATGGAAAACACCCAAAACAAGGAAGGATGTGCAGAGGTTCCTAGGATTTGGGAACTTCTATCGTAAGTTCATCCGAAACTTTGCCCACCTGACGGCGCCCATTACGGACTGTCTCAGCAGTAAGAAGAAGTTCGTTTGGACTGAGGAGGCGGAGCGAGCATTTGAGGAACTAAAAAGGGCCTTCGCCTCGGAACAACAACTCCTGCATGTGGATTTACAAAACCCGATGAGAGTGGAAACTGACGCATCAGACAGAGCGATTGGGGCGGTGCTTCTGCAGCCAGGGAAGGAGGAGTCAGAGTGGAGACCGTGTGCTTTATGTTCGCGAAAGCTGAACAAATCCGAGAGGAACTACACGGTGTATGACCGAGAACTACTAGCCATTCATGAGGCGTTCCGGAGATGGAGGCACCTGCTAATTGGCGCACAACATAAGGTGCAAGTGTGCACTGACCACAAGAACCTAGAGTATTGGAGGACGGCACGAGTGCTCAACCAACGGCAAGTGAGATGGGCCCAGGAGTTCTCCAAATTTAACTTTGAGATTGGTTACGTGCCAGGCCCAGAGAACATTAGGCGGACGCTCTCTCACGCAAACCTGAATATTTGGAGGGGGAGGGAGCACCCGAAGAGAGACATGTCATTCCAGAGGACCGCTGGGTGTGTGGGGCGGCATTGGTGGGACAAAGAGAACTGGTAGAGGAAACAGAGAATGATGAATACGCCCAGAATAAGCTCAGAGGTCTTAGGGGTGAGGGAGAGGAACCAGGGGGTTTCGAGGAAAGAAATGGAGCTTTGTATTACAAAGGGGCACTGTATATCCCTGAAGGAGACTTAAGGGGAGGGTACTCAAGCAGTTGCACGACAGCCCTACGGCGGGGCATTTTGGACAACACAAAACCATGTGGTTGGTCACCAGGGAATTTTGGTGGCCTAAGGTGAGGGAAGATGTACGTGAGTATGTAAGAGGGTGCGAGCAATGCCAGCGAGCCAAAGGGGAAAGGCGGGCGCCGGCGGGGCTATTAGAACCCTTACCAACCCCAGAACGACCTTGGGAGGCAGTGTCGATAGATTTTATGACTGATCTGCCGAAGTCCAAAGGGAAAACAGCCATCATGGTGGTGGTAGACCTACTAACAAAGATGTGCCACTTTGTAGCTTGCTCGCATGCAGTCACGGCGGAAGAGACAGCGAAGTTATTTGTAGAACACATTTTTAGGTTGCACGGGGTGCCATTGAGGGTGGTCTCAGACCGAGGAAAACAATTTACTTCCAGGTTCTGGAGGAAGCTCATGAGCTTACTGCAGGTGGAGGTCAATTTTTCGACTGCCCGGCACCCTGAAACCAACGGGCAGGCGGAAAGAGCAAACGGTGTCCTCCAGCAATACCTGAGGTGTTATGTCAATGACAGAGAGAATGACTGGGTAGAAAAGTTGGCGCTGGCGGAATTTGCCTACAACAATGCCGAGAATGTGTCCACAGGGATGAGCCCCTTCTTGGCTAATTATGGGTGTCATCCCAGGGCTTTCCCAGGGGGAGATGGGGAGAGATGGAGCGTCCCGGCAGCCGAGCATTTTGTGGAAGAAATGGAAGCAATCCATCGTCAGCTCCAACTCAACTTAGAAAGGGCGAAGGAAGAATACAAGAGGCAGGCAGACAAGAACCGAAGGGAAGGTGAAACCATAAGGGTGGGAGATAGGGTGTGGCTGTCAACCCAAGGGTTGCCGTTCAAAGGAGGTTGTAAGAAATTAAGACCCAGGAGGTTGGGTCCCTTTGAGGTCATTCAACAGGTCAACCCAGTGGCTTTCAGGCTCCGGTTACCCAACCACATGAAACTGCACCCAGTATTTCACAGGTCGTTACTGTCACCGTACGAAGGGGGACGAGAAGGGATGGCCACTCGGGACCGGTCATAGAAGAAAGAGAATGCAGCAGCCATGTGGCAGAAATCCTCGACGCCAGGTGGAAGGGGGATCAGGTGGAGTATTTGGTAGCGTGGGAAGGAGAACCGGAGTCAGAAAACACTTGGGTAATGGCCGAAGATATCAATGACGAGGTATTGATAGAAACGTTCCATCAAAGGTTCCCAAGGAAACCTCAGCCTGTGGAGAGGTTCCGGAGGGAATACTTTGGGACCACTGATGAGGAGGAGGAGTTGGAAGGATTCCCGGACTCGGAAGGGGAAGGGGAGATGGACTCTGAGGAGGAGGAGTACTTCGAGACCAGGAACCGCAACAGGTGGAGAGAAGTGTTCGAGACATCGGAAGATGAAGGAAGTTCATTCCGGAGTTTTGCCTCCTCACCGCCCGTAGAGGAGGGGGCGAGAGGGGGTGAAAGGGGCCCTGGAGGGGAGGTGGATGTCAGGGAACTGCCATCGGAAGGAAGGGAGGTGAAAGGGCTCACACAGGTTGGGAGAGACTCAGCAGCTGAAGAGGGAACCAGTAGGGGGAGAGGAGCTGAGCTGAGGGAAAGTGAGCTGGAGGGATGGCTCAGAGACACTTCCAGCGAAAACAGTGGGGAGGTTTCAGGACCTCCTGTAGGAACACCCACTCCTCGCCGGAAACTGTCACGCAGAGAGTCCAGAAGACGTGTTTCCGTTAAGGAGCTTTTATGATGGAAGAGATTCCAAAGCAACCACTGTCGGAATCTGCTAGTGACTAGAGGAGCCATGTCTGAGGGGCTCCGTCACAGACAGAGGTT